GGGTGTCTCGCCTCCCCACAGCCAACAGGAATGCCTCAGCAGAAGCCCCTCACGGTGCGTGTTTCTCAGCCCTGCTGCGGGCTGCTGGTGCCTACAGGAGAACGGGGCTGTCGGGCTCTCCTGTACTCAGACGGGTGAGCCAGAGACGTCGGACTCACCTCATGCCATCGGTAGGGAGGGCTCTCCAGGTTACTAGGGAGCCTGGGGCCACCCAGCCTGACCCTCCTGGCACTCCGTGTCCAGACAAACACCTTGACTTTCAGAGGGGTTTAAATTTGCTCCAGCTGAAGGAGCCTCGCCCCACGGCCCTCCACAATAATCCAGTGGTAAGAGAGACATAAAGACCCTCATATTGTACAGCTCACTCCTTCATAGGTGCTGCTGACAGCCCCAAATGCCACTGAGGTGACTAGCAGCTACGGGGACTCAGCACCTCCGGAAAGAATCAGGCCAGGCCTCTTTACTGTCCTCGGAAACACAGGGACAATTTCAAAAATATCCAGGGAGGACCCATTACTCAGTGTAAGTGGCAACATTCCTGCTGACTAACTGGTGGCTTAGAGGAGTGATGCCTTACCTAAGATCTATCCATTCAAGGTGCAGAGACGTGCCTGTGATCAGTAAGAAGAGTATTCCCCAGAAGTACATGATTGTTAATTAAAGCACCTTATGTAAATGACCCAGATGGGGGTGTTGATGGACAGAAAACAATGTTTGGTGGGTCCTTTCAGTCTGGGCTCGCCCTTTAACTGGTGGCTTAGAGGAGTGATGCCTTACCTAAGATCTATCCATTCAAGGTGCAGAGACGTGCCTGTGATCAGTAAGAAGAGTATTCCCCAGAAGTACATGATTGTTAATTAAAGCACCTTATGTAAATGACCCAGATGGGGGTGTTGATGGACAGAAAACAATGTTTGGTGGGTCCTTTCAGTCTGGGCTCGCCCTTCTGTCTCTGCCACTTCCTCATAGTGCGACCATGGGCAAGTCACGTATCTTCTCCAAGTCTTTGTTCCCTCTGTGTAAAACAGGGTTCTGTCTAGCCAGGGGATAAAATGGTGTCCCTGGCCTCTGTTTGTCAGAGGCTGGAGAGGGATGGCAGGAGACAAATCACTTGATCATTGTCTTCAGTCCACCCTCTCTGGGGCACCTGGTGCTGGCCACTGTCGGCAGACAAGCTACTGGGCTAGATGGACCTTTGGTCTGACCCAGTATGGCCGTTCTTCTGTTCTTATGAGATGGCACAATGTATGTGAGTGTGCCCAGGAATGGGTGCCAGGAACACTTAGATTATCTTCCCAGCTCTTGCAACTGACTAGCATTGGTTGGCAATTTTTTTACTGAACATTTTTTCATTGGTAAATTCCAATTTATTAAAATGGAAGCTTTTATTCATGGGAAAGGGCCAGTTTCCATGAAGTTCCTGTTTCCCAACCATTTTTGGAAAAAAGTTTGGAAGGTGTCAAAACGTCCCATTTTGATATTTTTTAAAAACAAAAATGCTGCATTTTTGTGAAAATTTTTCTGGTTGGGGATTACATTAATTTAGAGTGTTGAAAAAAATGAAAAAAAATCAACATTGAAATAAAATGTTTTGATTGCACCAATTCAAAAAATGTTTAGATTTTCAATGTACAAAATGTTTTGAGATTTCCACTTTTCACTCCCGATTTCAGACTCTTAAAAGCTCTTGTAGAACAGAGACATTGTTTTCTGCTATACTATAGTACAGCTGACCTCAATCAAGTCATTTGCTCATCTGCACAGCTGATTGTTATGCAGCACTAATGAAAATATGAGCTGCTTCTCTGTCTGGACCTGGCTTCCAAAATACCCGGGAACACCCTAAATAGCTCACCTATATCAAGCGATGGGCCCTACACAAGAACCAATTGTTAGGGGCTGAAATGTATTGGCCTGGGTTATGCAGGAGGTCAGGTGTGACTACCAGGAGAGCTGGCAGTATTTTAAAGAAGCCTTATTGAAAGCCCAGGAACAAACCACCCCAATGTGCCGTAAGAAATATAGCAGGAGACCAGCTTGGCTCAGTGAAATCCTTGGTGATCTTAAACCCAAAAAGAAAGTTGACAAGAAGTGGAAACTTGGACAGATGCCGAGGGAGGAGTATAAATATATTGCTTGAGCATGCCGGCGTGTAATCAGGAAGAGCAAAGTGCAACTGGAATTGCAGCCAGCAAGGGATGTGAAAGGTAACAAGAAAAGCAACGACGTTACTATTAGGGATGTTAGATATCGGTTACTGTAACTGCACCAAATCTTAGTGGTTACACGACTATTTGCTAGTCTCCCGGGGCGGGGGCGGCAGCCAGTGCGCTCACAATCCCTCTCTATCAGAGACAGCAGTGAAGGGCCAGTGGGAGCCAGTCTGGGAGATAAACTGATTTAAAAACCAGCTCCCCTCGCGGACCAGTGGCCACACGCCACCCTGATACAGAGGCAACAACGCAGGTGGCAGCAGCAGCCCCTGTCTGCAAGGGGCCAAGCTCTCCAAAGACAGGCGCTGCTCCGACATCCCGTTTGTTCCTCCCCCATGCTGATGCCTTTGATACAGAGGCAGCAGCATGGGGGTGGGGAAGCAGTTCCATGAAACCAGTGCTTGTGGGGAGCCAGATTTTAAGCCATCTCCCTCCAAGCACCGGTCCCCACCTATCCTCCCCCACTGCCTCCCTGGGAGGCAGCAAGGCAGGGAACAAGTGGCTCCGCAGAGCCAGTGCTTGCAGGGAGCCATCTTAAAAGCTGCTTCCCTCATGCGTATTGGCTCCTGCCTTCCCCCCTCACCCTTCACGCTGCTGCTTCTCTATCAGAGGCAGCAGCATGAGGATCCAGGTGGCTCCACGGGATCCCATGCTCAATCTAAAAACCAGTGATAGAGATGTAGCCGTGTTAGTCTGGTGTAGCTGAAACAAAATACAGGACTATGTAGCACTTTAAAGACTAACAAGATGGTTTATTAGATGATGAGCTTTCGTGGTCCAGACCCACTTCCTCAGATCAAATAATGGAAGAAAATAGTCACAACCATATATACCAAAGGATACAATTTAAAAAAAATGAACACACGTGAATGGATTGTTCACTTTCAGTCCTTTGGGTACGATGTCCATCTTCTTGCACTTGGATAGAAAGATGATGTCTGTCTGTATCTGTGCAAGTTTCTTCATATGGTTGATGGATTTCCATTCCAAACGGCTAAATGTAGTGCCTTACATGTAGAATAGTGATAGAGATGTAGCCATGTTAGCCTGGTGTAGCTGAAACAAAATACAGGACTATGTAGCACTTTAAAGACTAACAAGATGGTTTATCTAAAAACCAGCTCTCCATGGTCACTGGCTCCCACCTCCCCCACTACCTGCTGCCTCTGACACAGAGGTAGCAAGGGCAGGGGAGTGCATGTAGTCATTAGGCCCAGGCTTATCATGGTGAGGCCACATCTGGAATATTGGGTCCAATTCTGGGCCTCCATTATAGAAAGGAGGTGAATCCATTGCAGAGAGTCCAGCAGAGGGCAATAAAATAATTAGAGAGCTGGAGCACATAAACCCAAATCCCTCAGCCTCTCCTTGTAGGTTATTTAGTCTACAGAAGAGAAGAGCAAAGGGGGATTTGAGAGCAGCCTTCAACTTCCTGAAGGGAGGTTCCCAAGAGGCTGGAGAGAGGCTGTTCTCAGTGGTGACAGATGACAGAACAAGGAGCAATGGTCTTAAGTTGCAGTGGGGGAGGTCTAGGTTGGATATTAGGAAAAACTATTTCCCTAGGCGGGTGGGGAAGCACAGGGCTGGGTTCCCTAGGGAGGTGGTAGAATCTCCATCCCTGGAGGTTTTTAAGTCCTGGTTTGATGAAGCCCTAACTGGGATGATTGAGGTGGGGTCGGTCCTGCTTTGGGCAGGGGGCTGGACTGGCTGACTCCTGAGGTCTCTTCCAGCCCTTGGATTCTGTGATCGGAATGGTCCTTTGGGACTCTGAAATCTACGAATATCTGAAAATTTAAAGTTTGCTGAAGGCAACGTTCACTTTGCCGATCTTTATTCTTATTTCCTCAGAGCATGTGGCAACTTGGCTTCCTGTGCTTCTACGATATTTGAATCCATCTACCCTCCCTAGCTCTTCCTTATCTATTTTGATGTTTAAATCCATATCTCCAATTCCCTCGGTTTTACATTTCTTTACATTGAATCACTCTCCTGCCTTCTCTGTCATTTCTTTGCCTTCATTTAGGCATAGTTGAAGTCCTTCAGCATTTTCATTAGAGGAGTGATATCAGCAAATCTAGGGCCAATAATCTCAAATGATTCCACCTTAAGCCATAATGGTTATTCTGACATCACGATGCCATCATCAATTATGAGTAAGAACAAGAATGGAGACAGGATGCACCCTGGCCTTACTCCTGTCTTATTTTCAGATAGTTTACTTAATCTTCTATCCATTGTAATATCCCGTCTCAGTATCGGTCTACACGAGAAAACCTGCCATTTTGGGTGGTAGCGCCTAGAGGTCCTGAGCGCGGACCCCTATTTTGTTAGGTGTTGCACATGGAGACAGAGAGGGTATGTCTACACTACAGCACTACTTCAAACTAACTTAATTCGAATTAGTTAATTCGAACTAAGCTAATTCGAACTAGTGCATCTAGACCTAAAAACTAGTTCGAATTAGCATTTTGCTAATTCGAACTAGCATGTCCACATTGAGTGGACCCTGAACCGAGGTTAAGGCTGGCAGGAAGCAGTGCCAGCAGGGCATCAGATGAGGACTTAGAGCATGGAGCTGCTCCTCAGGCTAGCCAAGGACTGTGCTTAAAGGGACCCGACCCCCACCACAGACAGACAGTTCTCAGGGGTTCCCCCTCGCTTGTCTAACTCGATGAGGGACAGCAAAGCAGTCCTGTCTTGGAGTGCCCTGAGTGCCCACACTCGGCACATCACAGCACTCGGCCATCAGCCCGGTTGCACTTGCCGCAGGCTGCCATCCGGAGGGGGGGGGTCAATCGAGGGGCTTCAGGAGAGCTTCCACCCTGAGGAGCCCGCAGAGCCACCCCAGTCCTCCCCATTGGGGGCTCGTACCCCATTTCTCCCTCACCTCCTTCCACTTACCCCTCCCTAGCCCCCCTTCC